ATGTACTTCCACAGTTATTAATTGAGAGCTTTATATTGTATGGCAAGCACAATAATACCAACAATCAATACGAAACTAACGATTTTAAATTGGCTCACTACTTGACTAGCCTATTGGTCCCAAGCAAACGATTAACGTACCCCATTCTTGTCGACATTCTACTACTACACAATGTTTGTTTTGATTCGCTATGAAAGTTTGATAGAAAGTTTGTTTGGGTTAGTGGATTTTCCTATGTTTCGAGGGGTGAATCGATTAGCTTGGGACCGAAGAGAGTACCAGAGCTGAGCCAAAAAGTTGAGCACGTTATTTCGGGACCTACTAGTCTTAGAGTTACCTCTATGATAATACTCTATGCCCAGGGAAGTCGAGAAAATTTTCAACCCGATCGAACCCGCCGCCTCGGGCTTGGTAATACCACGCCTTTACTGACTAGGCTGTGAGGCCCCTGCAATCACTGTCACCTGCTTCTATAAGTCATTGTCACATCAAGTAGAAAGCACATCCTCCTAACTTTCTTGTCACGTAATTTGTCATTCAACCGTGTCAGCCAACATGCTAGTCTTCCTGTGAATAAAGCCACATGCATTCTCATCACACAAGAGGATAGCAATCTAACTTATGCAAATGTGATCACATGCAGATTGAACACATTGAACTTTCCTTCCAGCAACCCTGTCTGTTCACAAAACTTACGACTGTCACAGGGAGATTTCAACCGTTTGTATGCCATCACGTGCGGTTGTGCCGAATGAAACTCACGTGACGTATAATCGTTTGATAGAGTTCTTGGAATCTCACTTCATGCCAATTGAATCGTCCTGAATGTGCATTGTAAGTGAATAATAGACCTCATTCCGATTTATGGTTTGACTGACAGCCCCGCCAGATCGGTTCACTGAGAGCTGATTGACGCACTTGGCATGCCGATGCTGGTGTGATTGATTGCTATACCATTCTTTGCTCTCATTGCGCTACCACATGCCAATGGCTGGCGATATAAGACTGATATTACCTCGTAAGCCCGTTATGTCATTTAGATCACATCTCTCATCGTTACTCACCATACAATGATGCAAAATAAAAATCACTTCTCTTCATTTCGTCCTCATCTCCCTCCATTCGATGGAAAATTATTTTCTCATTCGCTTCAGGTGCTTAGAGCGTAATACGCTCGAGGTAATTTCATCTCCAGATTCACGAAAAATGATATGACTGAAAGAAATATAACAGTATCATATATCATATTCGCAAAAAAAAAATCTATTAAAGTGACACATTTTGTCCCCGATCGCAAGACGGAATCCTCTTAGAGCGCCACCTCTCGTTCAGCTACTGCTACTGACACTTTTGCCCGCCCTACTCGCTTCCATCGAAAATTGAAAAAGAATGAATGATAGCATTAATGAAAGCTTATCATATTTCAATTTCGCGAACGAGCTCTGCTGGTGGTGTGAGCGATCCTTCTGGGACATACCTGTAACTAGCTAACCGTAGCGGAAAAAGGTCACGTGTTGTTTGACTTTCTTTTACTTTTTTGGCACAAGCCCTCCCGGTGCGCTCGGGGATTGCTAATTCTTCCCGGTAGCACCATTTTGCCATGGTTATTTTTCTTTTCCCTGGAACGTGCGAAATTTGAGCCACACAGAACTGAAGTTATAATCCCCCGGACCCGTCCCGCAGGACAGAGTTCACAAATTCTGCGTAATGTCTGATCATCAATCAAAAAACATTGCCAGCGGCGAAGGGAAAACAATTGGCTTTCTTTGTTGGCAGTGATCCGTTACATTACAAAATATAATGAAAAATAATTATCAAATTTGTAAAAAAAAAAAGAACTAGAGGTAAAGTGTGGGTTGTGCTTAGTGTGACGGAGATTAGATCTTAACCCTACAACGAATGCATGGGAAATGCTAAGCAGGCCATTTTTATTGAAAATTTGGGGCCTCTCATTAGTCGCGTCTGTTGACTGACAGACACGGGGGTTCAATTTCCCATTCGATCCTAGGAGTTTTTTCTATTTGAAAAGTTTATCAATTCCCATTGCCACACTTCAACATGTTTATCTGTGGTTGTAATTTTATCTACCTTTCCAATATCAAATATGACGATTGCAGCTAAAATATTATTCATTTCAATCAATGAACAACAAGGCACGTGGTTATTTTGAATATGCGAAACGTGCGTATTCATACTACCTTTCATACTATGTCGAAGAGGTTTGCATTGAAGACACAAACCTTCAGAGTATGTTACACGGCCTTTCAACCTAACTCAGTAACTGAATAAAATGCTATTGCTATCTATTTTTCTTATACGGACATATTACTCAAGTATCATAAAAACTGGAGTTACACTTTTAAACTTGTAAATATCGTAATATATCTCCTATTAAATAAAATATCCACATTACACATTATAATGGGATTTTTTTGCGCGAAATAACGGACTTCGATAGTTTACTTATTTACCTCAAAACAATTCACAGTAGCAACTAGTTTGGTCATGCTCCTATGTTGGCCATGTTTTGAAGAAATATTACGATGTTCAATATTAAATTCTAGGTGATTTTTCAAAAGTGTGAAAGTTGATTAAAAAGAGATGCTAAAATATAGTTAAAAAGTAGAAGGGTCTGTGTCTAGGGGCACGAACGGAAGCTTGACGTAGGACCGCTAGTAGACGGAATAAATGTGAAGAGCATTTAGTGCTTTTAATTGATCAGCTATCTATTATCTCAACTCTTTCCGTTTTTTAATTGTAGGCGTACCAAATTTGTAGTAATCTTTTTCAAAGAGAAAGTTGATTAAGAGAATCAATCAAAATCTGTTGTACCCCTGATTTCAAGTTTGGTTACAAGATTACAACCCTGGAGAGCATTTTGTGTGGTCGTTGGGGGCTTGTGTATGAATATGGACAAACAAGCACAGATAAATTCTATTCCAACTCTTTACTGGTGTAAGCTTGATGGCGTGTTTAGTGTAGGTGACAGCACCACGGACCTCATTTTCCAGGAACACCTTCAGCACACCTCGTAGATCAGACCGGAGATACGTTTGACACCGCCACGGCGAGCCAGACGACGGATGGTGGTTATCTTGAAGAACTTTGCGTTTGGTTCTGAATATGGCGATGAGTCTGCAAAATATTACGCAATTCCATCCTCCCTATTCGCACGCGCCCGAGGATCGGAGGCGAATGCCACTTCGACTTGTTTCGTCTACTTACTACTCTCTGACGTCTGTGCTAGGGAAGCAGCATATGCATGTAGGTAATTGGTGGATTTGTTAGTTAATTCGACGCTTTTGAACAATGCTGGACATTTACCAGTTTTTCAATAGTTTCTTGTCAAAAATCAACATTTGGAAGCAATGTTATCGATGCGTAGCCATATTTCTGATCGATTGGTGATAAAATTATTGAAATTGTACCAGGGGCAGCTGAGTTAATAACGTTCAAAATCTTTCTTAATTTGTTACATGTTCCATTTTCGGTTTTCACAAAGTGTACCCCCATATAGAAATCAAAGACGTAGTCCTACGTCAAAAAATCATCTTCCGTGAGTATTAACAACATTGTGAAACGTGTTTGAGTTGGTACTATTTAAAATGATCACATTTTTTTTATTTGCTAGTATAAATGCTTTAAAATAAAGGATTGAACTATATTTGGTTTTGGGAGGATATAATTTTTCTGCAAGATGCAGGACTTTTGATATCGATTTTTCGAAAGTTTGTTATTGTTATTTTCACAGCATTCAAACTCGCGAATTTAGATAGGCTTAACCACAAACGAAGTGACTGACGGAGCGGCTCAAAAACATTGGTGAGGAACCTGCTATTTCAATTTTTCAGTGCACCACATGGCAACACTACTACTGGATTGTACTAGAATTTTCACCAAATGTACTAGAATGTTTGGTTCTACTTGTTTCACTCTAATCAAAGCTGAAAAGCATAAAAAAATTACAAAATGATACACACTTTGCACACTGTCAAAGATAATTGCACACAAAATCAACTTTGTTCAAATACGAGCCCATCTGGTGGCTGATGGCACAAGCTTCTAAGAAAATTCTATTACAGCGAACCACATTATTTTAATTGATTTCATCGCCAGTTAGTCGTATGTCACTTCGTTTGTAGCTTTACGCTTTCGCTCTTGATTGCTTTCAAGTCTTGATTTCCGGGTGAAATGAAAATAATTTCAAATTTATTTATATTTACACTCTACATTCCATTCGAATGCCCCTCATCAATTATGACAACGAAATGTCAAACTAAATATAAATATTTTTGACGTTCAACTGCTTTTGAACTAACGCCAAGTTAAAGAACGCTTGTACATATTCAACTTTTCATGAACGAATAATATTAAGAAGAAAAGATATGATCTGTTTTAGGCCGAAAACACATTTTTAGAGATTTGGACGACATTTTTATGGAGACCTACCACTGTGCAATCCAGAGATAGAGCGAAATTCTTTCTTCCGGATTCTAACTGAACCACACTTTAAGTCAAAACTAATGCTTGCGAAGAGATATTTGAATGCTGAGTAATATTGTTAGTAGCTTTGTTCATGCCCGGTTTACATTTGTGCTGTCATTCACAAAAATGGTTATCAGCTTGATATAAACAGTCAACAACAGTGGCAAACAATTTTCGTTTACCAAATTCGTGGTTTTTACATCTAGACTGCCTATCTATAGTTTGTACTGGTGTCCATTCAGCCAAATACAAGCGAATCCAAGTAAGTAGACAGAGCCCGCGAAATTCTTTCAGAGCATCTTCAACCAGCTAAAACTAGCTCGAAGCAGGTTGACAGCTAAAAACATCCTGAGTAAATGCGAGTAAGTCCAAATTATTTGGACTATTCCAAGGGTCGATTTCGGTACTAACTCGCAACGTCGCTAGTGACAAACAAATTCTGGAAAAATCGGTAGAATAAATTAAAAGCATGTATTTGGTATTTATTTAGTATTTATTCAAAGTTGATTAATACAAGATCCAAAACCATGCATACGTGTGAATCAATTAGCTCCCTACCTTACCCCGCCAATACATTCATTGAGTGTTTCATTCCTGCGTATCACACATCCATACAACCTGCGCTAATAGAAATAAAAGAGACTAGCAAAAAAGAGTTTCCCGTACCAGCACGATACAAGTTATAAAGTCTATTTTCCTACAGACACCTAAAGTTTCATTGAGTAATTTGTACCACTGAGGAATATTTCTACTATGTATGAATAAAATGAACAAATTAAACGACATTTTGCTGATCTGCAACTTTTGCCCGGCGCTATCCTTCCCCAGTAATTCCAAAAAACATCAAATCGAAAAAACATAGAGATGAATCCATTGATAATTTGTCGAATGAAGCTGCATTAAAGCATAACTACCCAGTGCAATTGACCATCACCAGTTAGTTCCTATTCTTTCTTATGTTCAAATATATCCTCGAACACATTGTGGATTTGCTCGATCATATCAGTGCAGGTCATGCTGCGGCCTTTAACCTTGTATCCATAAGAGTTGCAATTTTTCGTTAAATAACTGGCAGCGAAGCACGCCACCACGGCAGGACTTATTTCCTGCTTCGATTGCAGTGCCCAAAAGTAGAATGTAGCTAACGAACCAGCTAGAAGATCACCTTGACCGCCACATCGCCGTCCGGATCCTCCCCGAGGACATTCGTACTTTTCCAGTGTTAATGAGTCGTATATACGATCGTTTAGGCCCTTCTCAATCACTGTCACGCCACGTCCGAGTTTGTCCAGCGTATGCATGATACGATCCCGGTCGTCCCCAAACAGGCGACAGAATTCGATGGCATTTGGAGTGAGAATTACTCCGTAGTAATCTTTCACCAGACTGATATCTTGAGTAATCAGAAACAATCCATCAGCATCGATAACTAACGGTTTCTGCAGCTGTCGGCAGATTTTGATCAGTTCAGACACGGTTTGTAGTATTTGTCGATCTCGACCCAATCCCGGGCCGATAACCAGCACATGCAATCGTTCCAGCCACGGCTCAATCTGTATAATGGCATTATTCGAGTCCAACAAAGGATGAACAATCAACTCGGGACTGTAGGACTTGATGACCTGTGCAGCTGCTTGAGGACAAAACACGTGCACCAGATCCGCACCCACTTTCAGTGCACTAATAGCCGTGAAGTACGGCGCTCCGGTATATTCTAATGATCCACCCACTACTCCGATCCGTCCAGCCTGACCCTTGTGACGGGTCGTTTCCAAATGAGGCACTATGTTCCGGGCACGCTCGAGCAGGGGAGACTTGTTTTCCGACATCGTAGCGAGCCGCGAGAGGTAATGATTTCCACCAGCTGGTAACAATAACGAAATGTTTTGTTCAGCCAAACTTTGACGCACCGAAAAACTATGAAGGTGCAGTAAATTCGACCGCTTTGACACAAACGACAGCAACATAATGAAAACATAAACCGTAACTCGTGATAAGATAACATGCAGCAAATAATGACATCAGAACGAAAAGAAACGTTGGTTGCCCCTGGGTGGGTGTTCGACGAAAGATTGTGAAGGGTGGAAAACAGGCGTTACGTTTTAAAAACATCGCAAGCTGAACAGTGTCGGTAATAAAAAGAAGCACAGTTGATGTTTTTTGATAGAAAAAAAAAACTTTGAACATTGATAAGATTGTTTGATGCCGGATACATTCTGGCAGCTATTAGCTAGTATTTAGAGCACTTTAAACTATGTAAGCATAAGTAACATTTAGATACAACAAAAACAACCCTATAATATCGAGAAATTAACGTCGGTTAAGGAGTAAAGTACGTAAGTAAACACGTTTCAAGTGAGTTGATTCAACTCACCCCGAATAGAGCAAATCCAACATCGATCAGGTTTATTGTTAATTGAACGCCGAATTGAGTCGTCTTAAGGGCAAATCCAATATTCTATTGAATCTATTAATAGGGCGGGATTTTTTTTTAACTTTGTTCGAAGCCAAGATGGGTTAGAACCTTCAGATTTGATCATTCACAAAACAGGGCTGCATTTTTTTCAGCTTCGATCATTCACATAAATCACAATATATAACCTATTGAAATTATAAAGTGATTCACAAGGAGCCTGATGTGGAAATATAACTGCCTTAAGACTTTCCTTTACAACTACGGATTTTAAAAATAGCTTAGTAATCAAACTTTTTATTTTTCCTCTGTTCAGGACATCAAACCACTGTGACTAGCCTATAGGTCACCGCCTTTCCTCCACAAGCAGCATTAGCTTCAAACTTCATCTTTCCACTGTTTACATCGCCACGGTTGCAGTTTCCGGTGAACTTCTCATGCTTTTATTTTGACCCAGAAAAATCTGTAGTTTTTTTTTACACAATCAATTCAGGTTTTCTTCACAGGGATTCTCCAGTGCAGTAACAAAGGGATCAAACGACTCCAGAAGAGCTATAAAAATCTGAGACACGATATCATTTTCTTCTACCTTGGCTCCATCTTCAACTTTGCTAGCTTCTTCCTCTCCAGACTGCATACACAATGGTTACAATGTTTAACTTACATGCTATGCATTATTCTATTATGTTTTAGTTGGTTTTAATGATTTCGCAGTTTAGAGTATACTGTCGCTTCATTAGATTGATGGGGTCATTTTTTACCTAATTTGTTCTGTGTCACACTAATCGAGTCAGTACGGTTTTACCGAGTTTTTGAATTGCGGAACTGTTCGGTAAAAGTTTAAAAATCTGTGGAAAATTTATTAATGCGAATATTTGTTCTGAACTTGTACATACTTAGTTCTGTTACCTCATTTAATGGTAGAAAATAAAATTGGTCGATTTCATTGATTCCTTACGTATAACGGTCATTTGAATTTTTACCGACTTTTTCAGTAATTCAAAAACCCAGTAAAAAAAATACTGACTCCTGTAAAAAAATCTTAGTGTGATGGTTTTTCTGAGAGTGTGGACAAATTTAATTGTGAGAGTAATTCTGATGATTCTATGCGATGTTAAATAATGTCATGGATGAAGAAAAGTATTGCAAATTCACGGCGTTCTTTGAGTGGTTGTAAGTTGATGAGCATGCTTCATATGATGGAAGAGGAAATGCGGTCTAATTCAATTTGAAAAGGGCATTCCGTACTAGGTTACAGTATTCCAGAATAGGTCTTACGAATGTAATGTATAATAATTGAAGAGTGTATGGTTCTTGAAAATTATAGCTTATCTTCTTAATGAAGCCCAGCATGATGGTATTATAATGTTCTACAAAAGTGAGTTTGGAGACTTTACAAAACCAATGGTAAAATAAATTGAATTTATTCTGGAACTATCCTTCGTAGCTAGAATTATTCATTTTCATGAAGAGCTTAATGTCGTCTTTATATATGTATGAGTATTTTTAATTATTATTTTTTTTTAGTGTGTAGGAAATGTCTTTGACGTACAAAATAAAAATAATTGGGCCTAAATAAGAACCCTGGGGCACCAAAGGTGACCAAAATGGGGTTTGCAAGTTTATTTTTAAAACAAACTATGTGTGTACGTTGCGTTAAGTAGGATTGGAGCCAATTCGAACGTCTATACTCCTTTCCTATTTTATACAATTTAAAGAGTACTAATAGTATGCTTCTCTGAAGTCAGTATAAATAAATTCTATGTGCTTGCCATTGTACATTGCGTTAATGAATGAAGATTATAAATTCAAGATGATTAATTTGTATTGTTTGTAATTTGATGTTTAACTTGCTGTAAATTTTGTCGTGTACGCATACTTTTTCTCCAAATCTCTATCCCGAGCGAGAACCATCAAATAATAGTGAATGAACGAAACCAGTAGGTACGCAGCTTTTCTATCATTCTGCTATAACTTTTTCGATTCAGCCGCTGCTGTTGGTGGATCGTTCCTGATAATATCCAGCAGATCCACAGACTTCAAGTTCATCTCCACCCAAAATTCCCAAAAAATATATCAGGAGCCGAGAACAGTGGACAACGAGTCGCCCAAAACTTTTTGATATTTGATAGAGTGATAACGTAGTGTTTAATGGAAATAACAAGTATATTCAACTAGTTTGATTGATAATTTTGATCTACGGTGGAGTGCAGATAGAAAACGGAACGTGAAGGAGACGAATGAACCACAAATTGCACCAGCAGCTGGGAGAACCACCCATCGTCTAAACTGCAAAAATTTGGCCTCTACGGTGGGCTGGGCATGTCGTAAGAATGTCGGACAACAACCCAGTGAAAATCGTTCTCGGTAACAATCTGACTGGAACCAGTGCTGCAAAATCTCGACCATACACGGCATATTGACAAAACAGTTTTCGTCGCTCATTCGAGCTAAATTAAAGTAGTCATCTTCCATGTCAACTGTGAGTGACAATCCTGTCATTGACGAAGATGTCAGTTCAATAAATTAAGCAAATTAAATTAATTAAGCAAAACAATTCCATGGAGCCTTAAAAGTGCTTAAGCATCTACGTCCTTAACTAACTGGATAACAATAATGTGGCACAGAATGCACTTTTTGGTTAATCATTATCTTTGACGAAAAAATCCCTCCCCATAGACATGGAGGTTGACGGTACTGAAGCAAAGGGTTATGTTTAATTTCTTTATATTTACAACGATGATGATTTCCTATAGTGACATATATCACCTTCTTAATGCTTCAGTATGCCTCAAACGATTAATTCTTGGTTGTAGAACTTCCTTGATGAAATCGGCTGCTTCATGCAGACTGAGCAATTCTGATTACAGTATCAGATTTGTTCTGTACACAGAGGAACTGGGAGGACTTATTAGAAACCTCTCACCAATAAAGTAATGATCTTCTAGTAAATTTTTCATATAATTTTATTAATATTTTATTTTATTTAAGCATATTATTTTTGTTACAGTCAATTAGCATTAGCATACGATACAAGAGATTTAATATTACTTGCTCCTTTTTGCGTAAGATAATCAATATTTATTTTACTTGTAATTACCTTTGAAAGCTTTTTTTAAGTTTTTTTTTATTTGTGATCTGAAAATTTTCCCAGTTTGGTTAGAAGTTTCGAAGCTAACGCATGTCCACAGGCCTAATAGAAAAATAGGTAGAAAAAGTGTATCATGAAGAATGGTTGCATGCAGGGTTGTGTGAGGTTTAGACCGTATCCCACCGGAATCACCCAACCCTTTTGGAGAGCAGGCACAACCTACCTATTCAACTGCACTGCGACGAAAGAGGACCAACGAGATGCTTGCTGATTGAAGCGTCGTTGGGTGGTCAGATTAAAGAGGATGAAAAGATTCATCCTGTTCATCCAGTTGACAGCTCGTCGAGGGGTTCATCAATGGATATTGCACTGTGACTGAATGGTAATCCATTCAGTCAATTGTGCACCTCACAGGTTGCTTCCACTCACTTGCTATAGATGAGTGATTTTCGGAGTTTTGAATTCGATAGATGTTGTAATGGAGATTTGTGTTGTTGGATGTGGGAGGAGATTGGAGGGTGGGTGTTTGACGCATAGAGCCTGTCAATTTCACTTTCAGAGTGTCGCAGTCAGCGGTTTTATGATTTGTGAGCGCTCTCGATTCGTAGAATCGTTGATTGTGACTGCAAGTAGATTTGGCAGGTTTTGTGTGTCGGACGCTTGCTTTTTGGCCTCTTGTTGTGTCTAGCATGTGCAGAATATCATTATAGCGTCTAATGGTTTTGAGATTCCTGGTTGCGTGAAATATATTTGTGTATATTTGTATATTTCATGTAATTATCGTAAATAATAGTTATTCAATTATAGATAGTTCATCCATATATTCGTACTTTGACGCAAAGCGCTGTGGATTATGAGATGCTCGATGACCCTGGAGGGATCGATTTTGCTCACTGAGCAGAAAATCACGGATTTAATCCCAAGCTCTCCGTCATGACTCTTAAAATTCATGATCACTAAACAAAATTAATATTTTCTTTCGATAGTCGGCTATCGAGAGATTAAATGAACAACAAATAAACAATATATACTTTTCGTTGCATCACCAACTTGAGGTCAACCTCGGAAACTATTTGCATATCAAGCGAAAACATAGACGTGTTTTGTCGCGAAGTGTTATGGTTATGAGATGCTCGATGACCCTGGAGGGATCGTTTTTGCTTACTGAGCAGAAAATCATGGGTTTAATGCCAAGCTCTCCGTCATGACTCTTAAAATTCATGATCGCTAAACAAAATGAATATGTTCGGCTATCGAGAGATTAAGTAAACAACAAATAAACAATACATACTTTTGGTTGCATCGCCAACTTGAGGTGAATCCTAACCGAATACCCTATCCAACCCTCCAACTCCGTAGCACTTATGAGGGTGTCACTACCCAACAAACAATTTTAGCTGCAGATTAGCTTATACAGCCAAAATTTGCCTTATGCAGCTAATTTTTGTCTGTATAAGCTAAGCTGCAGCTAAAATTGTTTGTTGGGTAAGTCGGTGGCCTCTCGCTAAGTAAGTACTACATCAACATTTCCTTCCCTATCCCTAGTTATGGTAAAGGCGGGCGTGGCCGGGAATAGCGACAGTCATGCTTCTGTTACTCTTGTTTAGATTATAACCAACGTTTACTCCCCAGCATTATTCCTGAAAGTAGTCTAACTGAGAATTTCAGAAGAGACGTGAGTGTTGCTAATATCCAATCTACGAAGTATATCATAACAACGCTAACGCTATCATTATCTTTGACGAAAAAATGAATGAGATTTTGACGAAGGCTTTTTTGAGAAATACGACGATATCAAAAATAATCTTGTCAATATCGCGTGAAGTCTTTCAATGACAATGACAAATCTTAGCACTGACTGGAACGAGACGACGAGGTGCGCAGAGGGCAAGGTGGTTCGATGAGGTGCAAGGCGACCAGCAGAGCCTTCGCAGACTATGAGGCTGGCAACGTGCAGCCATGGATCGAGTGGAATGGAGACGACATCGGTATTCACCAAAGGACACTTAACCTGAATGATGATGATTATGATTATGATGATGGAGATTTTTAATTGAAGTTTCCGTTTACTCTGAGCTTAAGTGTGATAATTTATTACCTAGAGAGGTCTGAAGAGGGTAGGTTGATAGTACCGCTAGAGTACTGCAGTATGAAAATTGAAGTCTCTTTAATCAAGAAATATAAGATAAGTTAAAATTGAGCGAAGGGCCATTAATGCGACAGTAATGGACGAGGAATTTCTCTTCAAATCTACCGGCAAAAGAGTGTGCATTTGATTTGCTCATAAAAACTTACTGTCTGCGGCTGTGGAATAGTTCTAGTGACGATTCATCACTACCTAAAGTCCCACGTTTTCGAAAGCATTTCCAGTCTATGGTGTGTTATAATGCAATTATTCTTTACCCAACTATTGTGTTGCTCCTCTCGTCATGACCAACGTAGTCATCTCACATAGAAAGTGGTAGGGTGGTTGTTGCGTGCTGTACCATTATTGTTGGTTACTCCCGCCTTGAGTTGTTACATTCAAAGTGTTTTTTTGTGACTACGTACGTGAAATTTACGATTATTATTATGGTCATCATATTTCAATCTCTCAGATTATTCTTCTGTGTATCACATAGCGGCATCGCAAATAAATTACATACAAATAGTTGATGAGGATCATACAATTTTATTTACAATTAACAGTCTCTGCAAAGAATTCTTTACAACAAAAAAAAAATCAAACAACCCACGATTATGGCAACAACTTTGCTCCATAACTATCCCAATTTTCCATATTGGTCAGGTTCACGAACCCCCACTCCCACCGTTGTGTCTTTTTCCTATGATCACACTTGGATACTACCACTTTCTTCCCCACGAGATCAAGGCACTGATTTCTGCCGGGCTTTCCATGCAAAATCAAATTATTTTCCTGCGGATCAAAGACAACAATTGAAAATTTCAATTCTTCAGATTATCAACTCAAATTCACTTACGAAATCATACTTCCACAGTTGGTTTCCCTGTGATTCATGGCAGTTGAATAGTACTACCTCCGAATCATCGCTTGAGGCATCCAGGCACTTTTCCACGCTGGCAACCCGGATATCTCGGTAATAGGACAACGAAAAGAACTGATTGTTCTGAGGATGGGTTTTATTCGCCGCACAGCCAAACACTCCAATTGGTTTTTTTTCTCCGTGGTTAAGAGAGTCCAGACATAATTTAGGATTCGCCAAACTCTGCACTCTTCCGGATGCAAATGGCAGTGGATCCCGTAAGGGGTATCGCTTCAGTAAATCCGGAGCAACTTCCTCTAAGAACCATTTGAAGGGTTTACATTGTAGCTTCTCTCTCAGAGCCTTCTGCTTCGTCAAATCCCCCGCATCGGTTTTATCAAACAGAGAATTTCGCTCGTACAGAAACTGTTTGTATTCGTCCATCCACACCTCGGCTACCCGTTTGAAATTTTTGGTAACGAAATTGGTTCCCCTGGGATTCGGAAACGGTGCATACCCTCGGTACACGTGACCCACGCGGGAACAAGGTGCGTCAACCATTCTTCCTCCACACTGCCAGATTTTGAAACTTAATTCATACTGCTCTCCACCCCAAATGTCTAGCCCTTCGTCGTACCCGCCGAGCTCCCAGAAAAACTTGGCACTTATAGCAAAGAGGCCTCCGGCCATGATGGGACTCTCGAAGGGCTCCGTTGGGTCAATTTTATCTTCTGGCCGCAGAGGCAATCGTTTGTAGTAGAATTTCCAGTCGAACGCACCACGTTTACCTTCATCCTGACCGCGATACTGGAACGTGTCGTGAGCAATAACATCGATGAATGGGCAAACGCACGTGCGATAGTTCTCGGCGATGGGTTCTAGAAATGGGCGAGAGGGAAATTAGGTAAATGTATACGCAATCAGTAGAACGTGACTCCGAAAGCTTACCGATCAAAGGTGGAAGCCAGTTCACATTGACTTCTGTATGTGAATCGAGTACGATTAGTACATCTCCACGGGCAACTTTGGCACCGGCTAATCGAGCAGCAATTAACCCAGACCGCTCTGGTAGGTTGATAAGTTTCACCTTTGGCGCAAGCTCTGTTCGAACGAATTCTTGTAAGGGTTCCCACAAAAACTCCTTGGTACTGTGATCGTTGACCATAACAATTTCCTTCAGCAAATGTGGTGGTGAGCGATTAAGCACACTGTAAACAGTACGCAGCAACGTGCTCCAATGTTCATTGTAGAAAATAACAATAACACTGACCGTTGGTAGTTCTTGGAGGTAGTGTTTTTTGCGACACCTGTAAACTAGATAGTGTTGAGACTAAAAGCATGATTTATTTCGCATTGCACCTTTCTCAGCACAAGCCAATATAGAGATAAATAGGTACTCACTGTTTATGTCTGATGTCTGGCACCGAGCGATTCAGCTCAATCATATCGCTAATCACCGCGGAATAGCCATTTTCCTTGAACAATTTCTCATTCAACTTGATGTCTTCGGGTTTTAACAGTTTGAGAGGCTTCCCGTGCTCCCCCGGGCCTTCCCGACCCGCTTCGTACTCGATATATGCATAGTCATGCCAGTCGACCCGCAATCGGTCGACGTTCCTAGGGCTACCGTTGAAGAACGGCTCGTCGCTGACGTAACGATAGTAGAGGGCATTCTTGAAGTTGGAAACACTTTGGTACTTGTGAATTATGAGTACCACCGTGATGATCATACACGAGAACACGAACAGTAGCTTCAGAATCCATTCGCCGATCGTGGCTTGGCGAATCTGCAATGCATGGTAGCAATAAACGAAAGAATTCGCATAAGAACATAGGTGAGTTGAAATAGCCTAAAATGTTGAGAAGGGGAACCGTATCAAAAGCAGTTGGTTGGAACATATGTTCCTCATCATGGCTAGAAAGTAAAATCTCCAAAAATATATCTTAACATCGAATGGTTGCCCTAGAGAGTATGGAGTGGAATTCCAATTCAGCCACTCTAGGCTATTTTGAACTAAAATTATTACAAATCTTCAAAATTCAATTAGGATGAAAAACGGCCTCGCTCAAGTTTTCCTGACAAATGCTGACTTGAAAATTAGAGTGTGCTGAATAATTAACATTTGAAAAAGGTATATTTTATAATGAAACCCGATAATATCGATTAACTTTATTCGGAAAAAATGTGTATTTCTTTCACGAATTTGGTTATGATCTGGACTAGCAGGAGAACTTCAAAGCGTTCATGGGAAAATATACCTTAAGCGACAATTTCATTTCAGACTCTACAAAATCCAGACTGATAAGATTTCAAATCTGGTTTGAAATTAACAGACACAACACAAAATGTCGTAAAGCAGAGTAATCCATGCTCTCCCTATCTTGACTAATTACCCAACCGACAATTTTCCAGCATGCTCATGTAATAGGTGAGTAAGGTCTCCATCGATAGTGTAAGCCTACGACGGATACCCGGGTAGACGGGAATAGCAAAACCAGAATAAAATAATATTAAATTTTACTTTCAATATCTTATTATGTTATTTGTAAGTTGTGCACTATAACAAGTTAATAGTTTATTCTGCTATAAAAGCATAATTTGCTATTGTTATGATATTTTGGTAACATTAATTCAAAAGTTAATTTTAGTCTGACAGCAGAATAAGCAATTAATATGTCATTGAATTGATTCATTTAAATTACATACCAATAGCTTGATGAGATGTAATTGCAAAATGTGATATTACCTCTCATATAAATCAAATATTCTCGTCTACTCGGGTACCGAATAAAGCAAACTACGAATCGATCATTAATTATTCAAGATAGGCATCTACAAAGAGCTGTGCTGTATCTTCACAAAAACTGCATTCTCATGACATCATCGTAACAGGCACACATTTTCAGAACCTACATATGTGCCTTCTCGAACTGATCGCGTGCGCCCAGCCATCAGCCACCTGATTCATCCTCACAAATCAACAAAATACCAGATAGCACACCGTAGCCGCGGCTAACATCATTCTAGCGGCGCGGCGGCACTGAGCTGTCCACACTTCCCTCATCAGCCGGTAGCAACCTTGACCTTGGCGCTTTGTCTCTTTTGCGTTTAAATACACTCCTCCTCCTCCTCCTCCTCCACAAACTCCTCTCCGTATCCGTACCAATCTCTCTGTCAATTTGAGCGCCAGAGAAGATCGTGGATAATAATTGCTACCTATCGTTTTACGATCACATCATTCATTCTTCCTGTGTGGCACAACGATCGCCAATGTTTTTTTTTTTGCTGGATTTTCGTTTATTATTCTTTATGCTTAGCCCATTCTATCTGCGTCAACTCTTTCACCACCAAACTGACGAGCATGCCATCCTACCTACTGTGAATGAAGAGCGATCCACAACTCCGGGAAGCCCACCGAAGGTGTCTTTTTAAGTGGCATCAGGTATATATTCATTAGAGAAACTCATTACAAGTGACCTCACATAAAACTCGTGTGTACATGGCTGGAAGCGTTAAATGGACCCCAAACATACGTATATAAAGCTATTAACTAGGGTCATGCCGACTATGGTTGAAGGTTTTAGCTTGTGTTTGAAATACACTAATGAGTAATGTGGCAACTATATAGGTCACTGGCGGAAGGAGTGGGGGTAGGGTTCAACCCTCCCCCCCCCCTTCACGATGCAAATATAGAATTATCCTTATATAAAAAATGTGAATCAACTATTACACTTTTTCAAATGTGAGTTAATATGAACGATATAGGCCACGTTTTACTTCTTTTGTATTGAAAATATCAATAATCAATTTGTTTGTTCAGTAGGTATCCCCCGGTGAAAAGTTGCTGTAGTGGTCTTACAAGGCAAAGAAAAGTATTTTCTTTCATATCGAGAAGATTTTTGAATGCCAATTATCTCCGTTTTTTATAATTTGTTCCACAAGTTTCATCTATAGCTACCGTAATCTGGGAGCAAATAGATCACCGGGGTGAAATTGTTCAAAACTCCTTGGTTTTCGGCTGTTCCGTAGAAAATTGTTGGTAATAGATATCAAGAAAAATCTTGATAGCAGGGGAAATGGCTCTAATGTTGGCCTATGGATCTAAGATTGGACCCATCGCTAAAAATTTGCTATTTATAAATTTTATTAAGATGAACGCGTCATTAGGACGGTTCTAATGGAAAATTTGGGTCACTATTGAAAATTTATTCAATTACTGTATTTATGTATGGGCCCAAATAAGGGGCATTTAGGCCGACATTACATCCATTTCCCCTAGTTCATCAAAGCATTCTTTAATCATTGTTTTGATGAGTTTTTTTTTCTCAGCAGGATAGTATATTTAATACCCATTATTTAAAAAAAGATTGTATGGATCCAACAACGGTTGTCATTAGCTTCTTAATGGTTATGTGACTTAACTAGGTGTCACTGAATTCGAAGTATTTAAAATATTGCGAAAATACAGCTTCCAATGCCAAAAAAATAGAGGATTTTCGAAAAGTTTCCATCTATTTGCTTAAAATACACTTCGCACCAGGATTCTAACGTCTGTTTCTGATTCAGGGAACCAAAATTCATAAAGTTATAAAGGCACTGGAGAACTATTTTACGGGTTGATCAATTGCACCCCACACCGTTTGAAAAATTCGTGTAAATTTCAGCGATACATAGCGTGTTATTAACGCTAGATTTAGCATAAATTTACACGATTTTTCTGACTTCACCTGAATGTGTCTTCCGACTACTCCCGGGACATTCTTCCAGTTCCAGTTTAATTAGAATTGAAGTTTCTTCTCGAAACCCACCAGAAAATTCCTGGAACTTCTCCTGGATGATTACTCCAGCTTCCTTTTGAAGTTTCTTCCGACACCATCTGGGAGTTTTTTTTTCAGACTTGCTTACATAGGATTTCTCCGGAGCGCTCCTTTCTACTTACCCAAGACGTCATGCTGACTTGCGCCGGATGTCTTTGCCTCTAAACTTGCTTCTTCCTTTTTCCAGACTTTTCTCTAAAATGTCTTCCGACTGTTTCTGAATGTTTATTTCCCAACTAATTCTGCCAACGATCTCCGGAAGTTTTGTCCGACTTTTTTAAATTTCTTTCAAATCTCTACAAATAATTTTCATATAAGCTTCCACTGTTAATTTACACAGAGTAAATTTCTCAGGAATGATTTTCTGGTAGGTGGGATATATATCTAGTGAAAATGTATTTTTAGCTGTTTTCCAGGAAATCTAACTAACTTTCCAAGAATTGAAAAAAATGATTTTTGATGGAATTAGCAGAAGTTGTTTCCCAGTATGTCATTTGTATTTCAATAAAAATTAGATGTTTGATTCATCGCATCATTTTTACAACATACAAAAAACCTGGCTGCGCCACTGGTACAGATTGAATTCAATTTAATGTTCGTTTTTCCTTTTTGTACCCTTCTTACAAAGGAGGGTATAATATCACTTGAAAAACCGACTATCGATCCGAGGCCCGGAGGGCCGAGTGTCATATACAGGCTTCCAAATAGTACAGCCTCCTCGCGACAGTTGGTTTATACCTGAATTGACAGTTGCTTTGTGTGCTTTACTGCCGCTTGCTACCGTACGTTCAGATCTGAATTCGAAGTGTATTGGCAACAGCGCACGCACGAACGAATGAAAGCTGTATTAGAACAGTCGTATCTATACCCGCTTTGCTAAAATCATCGTGCTTGGAACGTAGTGAACCAAATGGGCTGTATTTATACAATTCTTTATGACCAGGTTCTCAATGTTTCTGTCGTCATAACAGCCTTCACAAATCGACGACATCCCTCAGCTTACCCAAGTGGCTGTCACGAAAAGGCTGTCACGAGACATTATATACAATTGATATACGGCAGTGGAGTGTGGAAGAAACCCAGAAGAATGATCCCGAACAGATATGTCGGCCCGATGTCGGATCAATGTAAGGTCAATTTATGGTCGACGTCGGCCAAATGTCGGGTCGATGTCGGGTCAATTTTGTTTTTATGTCGGGTCAATGTCGGGCCAACATCGGGTTGGGGTTTGGTAGAAGTCAGGTTGGTGTCGGGTAGGCTTATATTTTTCGCCGGAGACCGCGCGTTTTTAAAAAAAATATCGGATGAAAATTTTGCAATGGGCAGCACGAACGTGATAGCAACCGAACGAGCTCCGGCGCCACACTGGTAGTGTAGTAGCAGTCTTACGACATACAAACAAAATTTCAAAGACAGCAGCAACGAATCGGCAGTTCGACGGACTGCTTGTTGTATGTACGAGGAACGTTACGAATGACCATCCGAGGCTGTCATAGCCGAACGAACAAAATACATGACTAAGAACGAGCTGTCGTGTACTGCACAAGACGGCAACGTTGCATGTCGTATAACAGCCTCACTGTGGGCTGTCGCTTATAGTTCAATCTCAAGGCTGTCGTAGGGAAAAGAAAGCGACAGCCGTTGGAATACTGTCATGAGGCGGTACTTTTGGTATGCCTGGTCATATACCATTCGACTCAGCTCGACGAGATCGGAACATGTCTGTGTGTGTAAGTGTGTATGTGTGTATGTGTGTGTGTATCAGAGCTTGGGCTATCTTTGTGCTGCCGTGTAGTTTTTCGGTGCTCGCATTTGAATAGTTTTATGTCCCGGACGCGAAAATTCTATTTAGAATGATTTGTGCTGATGTTTTTCCCCTGTTGCTTTGGTGCCTGATGTGCTCTCGCTCCCTTTGTTGACGGTGTGACTCGACCACGCTGATCTATTATTAGGTTTTTGCGGTGTGCAT